CTCTCGCTTGGTTCTATGTCGATGCCGTGGTGGGGAGAGGGAATCCGTTGCTGCGTTAGACATGTCGGGCTGGGTTTGCGCACGTCCTCGTAGCGTCTGTGGAATGCGGTGATGGGGTTGGGAAGGCATGATGGTATTTTAGTTTGCTGTTTTGAGAGGCGTTGCGTAGACTGCAGAGTTCGGCTTTTGGTAGAACAGAAGATGTTTGATTATGCGAGCTGGATGATTCCATTCAACAAGAAGGTTTGCATTCCATATCTGCAGGTTCACAAAGCCGACCTATACAGCGCACCGACAAGCAACTCAGGATATCTGTCTCTCCTGCACATCACTTCCTGACCTCTGCATGTTCGACCTCCGCTGCGTCCTTGATATCTAGTCCAGCCATGTCTTCCTGATCCTTGGCCGCGTCCCTAATCATCATGTTTTGCTTCTTATTCTCGCTCTTCTTGTACAGATACTGCATGACCAAGAATGAACTCCAACATCCTACGATGAAGCAGATATTCACTGCATAGCCCTTGGTCCATTTCGGGCCCTCGACGATAGGGAAAACTGTGATGGGGTAGAAGGAGAAGACAGCCCAGCCAGCTGTCAACATAGCACCAACAGTGACAGCGCGTGCTTCTGCGTCGTCACGTAGAGCCATGTTGATGAACGGCATAAGAATGGGCGTAACAGCAGCTGATACACCGAGCAGATAGTAGCAGGCGAAGTGGTAGCCCTTGGGGATGTTCCAGACCAGGAGAGAAATGTTGGCGACAATGTAGATAGTTTGAACAATCGAGAAGATGGACCAGAGCGGGTAGACCATGCAGAGGGAGGTGGCGAGGAGCGCGGCGAAGACGGAGACACCTTGGGCACCAGTAGGGATAGTGTTGATTTGAGGAATGGTGTAGGCGCCGGGATATTTGGCAGCAAGGTCCTTGAGCCAGATTGCCATCTGTCCATGAGGATAAGATGAGGATAAGAAACTAGTAGTCGGTCAGCGGTTGTAACTATGGGTTTGTCGAAGATGCTCACAAGGTGTAACACAGTACGCCCATGTAAAACTCCCAGCGCATGAATGTGCGCTTTGCGACCGTCCAGCTAAGCTCTTTGCTTGGTGCGACACCGGCGTTGACCATGCGTGAGCGAGCGAGCGCATGCTCTTTTGGTGTAAGCCACCATGGCTTCGCGCTACTTGGTAGGCCCGGGAAGATGAGGAAGCCCGCAAGAGCGATAGGGAGAGAGATTACTCCGTCTATAATAAACAGCCATCTCCAACCCGACATGCCACCGACACTGCAAGAGGTTAGCAATAGTATAGTACTTTGCGGAAGGTCGCTTACCCGTCGAGGTTGTTGTAGGCCGCAGCTTGTAGATATCCACCAAACATCACGGCAATGTTGTTGGAGACATACCAAACTCCCGTCCTTTTGAAGACCTCCTCAGGCCTGTACCAAGAGCCAAGTACATATGTGGTACCAGATGCTACAGGTGTCTCAAGCAGACCGAGTAGAAATCGAGTACCGTAGATGTCGTTTCGGCTGCGCATTTGACTCTGGCAGAAAGTCACGATGGACCACAGCACTTCCATGGTCGGCAGATAGTACTTGGCAATCTGTGGCCGGGATAACAGGAGTAAAGACGGAACCTGGAACACGAGATATCCGACGTTGTAGAAGGTGTCGAATAGTGAGTACTCGTTGCCGTAGAGACTAAGCTCTTCCTTCATGCCCGACACATAGGCGTTCTTGATGTTGGAGGAGTCCAGCCACTTGAGGAAGACTAGTTTCGTTAGCATATAAGTACTGGGAGACCTGATAGTATGACCTACACATGAAGGAACAGAAGGTCAGCAGACAAGCGTCCATCTTCCTCAGCAACTTCCTCTCCTCCTCAGGGTAGTGCTTGGGATACCATTCCCAGAGGTACATCCACGCTTTCCATGGCGACCTCTTGGGAGCTTCAGCAGGCGCGATAACGTTGGTATCGAACTCGCCAGTCCTGTTGGCGACACCAGCAGTTTCGTCGTTGGGCTGCGTGCTAGCCATGTTGAGTCGCCTCTCGTCAGATGAAAGTGTTGACGGCACGACCTCGGAAAAGCACAACAAAGCTGGGGTTTTCGTGCTTAAAGCCCTGAGGTTCGTCGGAACCCGAAGAACAGGTGAGTAGGTAGTTCCCGCATGGCTAAATCTCAAAGCTAGTAAGCGACTGGACGGCTCTCGCGCGGGCGTCGGGATATTTCTACATGCGGATGGTCGAGTGCGGGGGCGGGCTTCTTCTGGGGAGAAATCCACAAACGGGCACTGAAAGAGGAATTAATCCGCTATCCGGTGGGTGTTGAGCTGCTGGAAGATAGCCAAGAGCATGGGGAAGCTGTGGGGTGATGGAATGAAGCTCAAATCTTGGTTCGGGAAGGATGCATTGCGGTCCAGGTGTCGTGCCAAGGCGCAGCCAAAGGCAGGCAACTTCGGCGCATCGTCCGCCTAACAAGCTTGAAAGTAAGCCTCGGAATCACTCGCTGATTACTATACCACCCATCTCTTCGCATGCAAGTTTTCTTCTATTTGGCGTTGCGCAGATGCATGTACCTAGGTATGGTGTGGTAACAGTCGGTGACGTCATAGACACGTTCGCGAACGGAAAATCTGAGGCGTGTCTTTACGCGTCGCGACCGCGAGCATGCACATTCATCGCCAACGTCTACGACTCGAAACCGACTCACGTACTTTCACTTCCTGGGCCCATCTCGAAAAACTGTCCGCGTTGAGTGTGCGTTCCTTGTGTAAGCTTGGAAGAGCATGGTGCCCGGGGACCTCCCGTACAGAGCCGTGCATACGCATCTTCACGCGACTATCCCTACATCTCAGGAGAGCGTGATCGCGAACGGGATTCGATTTTGAAATGACTATATCTACTTTTACGCTACGCCTTTCCACTACTTCAATGCTTCGATCATCTTGTACAAGCTGTTCTCTAGGGTGACAGGCGATCGAAGCCCAGACCAATCGTAGTTCAACAAGCCCCAAGCCTCATCCGCCCCAATCAGTGTGTTGGGAGTTCGGTTAGGACGAGTCTGGAGGTAGAAGCTACCTGAGAGCTCCCAATGCTGCCAGCTAACCTGGTACTCCTTGACCATCTCCACCAAGCATTCCGCGTAAGTGGTCTGGTTCCAATACGTTCCGTTCTGGATGAATCCCCATTCGGAGATGACCATCGGGAAGGTATACTTGGTCGCTGGGTCGTCGGGGTTGACGGCCTGGAAGCCCTTCTGATACCACTTCCTCTTGAAGGTCGCGCAGTCATCCTGTGTGGCTTCGAAGTCATACTTGTGGATCTCGAGAACGATCTTGTCCTTCCATGCGAAGCTATCGGGCACGAACTTCGCAGTCTTGTTTGCAGTCGACGTACCACTGGTACCATTAAGCGTCTTTCCGAGAGGGATGGGGTCAATGTACGTGTCGTACGAAAGACCAGAGAAAAATATTAGCGCATTGGGATCTGCCTCGTGAACGGCGTCCGCAGCGGCAGTCATGTGGATGTACCACGTATACCAGTCGACCGGCTCGGCCACCTTGGCAGCTCGCAGCTCATTGCGCAGTCCCATTGACGAGAACGTCGGCCAGTTTTCTTTCGCCTAAGCACGTCAGCATCTGCTCCATAGCAGACGGTCTTTTGAGTACATACATGCTTCGTCATAAAGGCCAAGCCTCGCTTCCACTTCTCCACGTCGAAGTCCTTCTCACCGAACCAGCCGTTACCGTCGTCATCGCCGCAGCACCAGAATGCCTTCGACACGTGGTTGTCCAAGTGGATGATCACACCTTGACGCGAAAGTTCCTTGCCAACAGCATCCCAGACTTGCAGTCTTGTCGTGTTCTTGGTGAACTGTGGGTTCTTCTCCAGGATCGAGTTCAGGACGTCGGTGCCGTTCGTACCCGGAATTGCATTGAGAACACTCCTTTCGAGAGTCTGGTCTGGGCTATTCGCAAGGTAGTCATCCACCATCTGGATTGCGAACGGCATGCGGACTGAGTTGAGGCCGAGCTTGGGAAACCACGACACGATATCTTGGACGGACGAGTGTTGGAGGCCTTCGGGAATCATGATCTCTTGGTGACCTGGCCAGTTTGTCGACATGAAGTGGAAGACATCGCCGTTCGCGTCGACTATGTCTCGCCCCTTGGTCGACAGAGGAAGTATGGAAGCTGCCCTCTTCAATGCCGATGGCGGCGCGGCAGCAGCAAGGGAAATCAGCAACAGCTTCACAGTTGCACGAGTGAACAGCATTTTGACGTTAACAGGACGAAGTGTTGGTTGATTCTATCCACGTTACGAATCCTAGCATCTTTATGCCGACAAAGATTCACGCGATCGTCTCAAACTTAGACGCGTCGATATTCACGGCCAAAGTCTTTCCGTCCCTACATGCTAGCAGCGCTATTGCAACCCCAGACTTCACAGATAGTACAATGCGGGGAAAGTAGCAAGAAGACGCTACGCCGCTTCCAAGGCTTGTCAACACAGCAAGCGAAGGAACAGATACCTCTTCTGGAAGGCCGTCCACGAGTCCAAGAAAGCATAGTCACGAGCTTTAGTACGATACGAGATCAAGAAAAGAATGACGTCCACATTGCGGGCAATGCCCTGAGCTTGTGCAAACGGCCGGGTAGCGGGCATCGGGGTAATGCAGATCCCACATTTAGCCTACACCTTAACTTCGAACTCTCGTTGCAAGATGACCCGGTATCGATAACAGCCCCGCTATGCTACGCGCGACAGTTTACGCGTCGCCCGATGTAGTCCTTTTGGCAAGAAGCAACACCTTGGCTACTCTTCGCTTTGCTTCCTGACTCTTCTCTTCGCTCAATTACGACGGAACATCTAGTGGAAACGGCACACCTCGAGGACCAGTTCCAAGTGTCATTGGACGAAATTGCCTTCGTATCGAACATACGTCACTCACAAGTTCCGATCGCGAAAGCAAAATGGGAAGCGCTGTACAGGACGCCAAGATGCCTTCCAAGGCCGCGGTGTAAGCAAATGCGCATGCAATAACGACAGAAGCCAATGCTAAGTTTTGTCTAGCGTCAAAGATGTCGACCTCAGTCAGATCTACTCCGAAAGTGTGGCAGCAAAGATCGTTCAAGTCGCGCAACGCGGTCTCAAGCAAAAAGCTCCTTTACAATCATACCCACACACTGTACCCCAGATTGGCCCAGACGCCGGCCGATACGAAGAGCGAGAAGCAGATTTCTGGACATGCGGCTTCTTTCCAGGATGCATATACGCGCTTCTCGAACGTTCGATACGATATCCCCAGGCCATTGATGTCCCAGAGAATGTACGGCCACAGATCCAAGATCAGCTACTGAAGCTAGGACGACACTATGGCGTCGCTATCAACCAAATGTCTGGTCGAACAGATACACACGACATGGGGTTCATCGTGCAGCCCGCATTACAAAAAGACTGGGAATTGACCGGCAACAAAGAGAGCTTACAGTCTGTCGTCAACGCAGCATACGCGCTCGCATCGCGATACGACGACCGAGTCAAAGCGATTCGGAGTTGGGACGTTGCGATAAACGACCGTTACTCAATAACGGATATGTCGACAAACTTTCTCGTCATTATAGATAGCATGTGCAGTAAGCCTTCCACTCCAAGCACTTCTTCTCTCCACTTACTCACACGTCCCAGATCTCGACCTCCTCTACTTCGTCGGCCACATCCAAAACGACCAAAAGCTGATCGACATTGCAACCCAACACGCCGACTCCATCATCCACGAGATCCTTCGACCAGACTTCTCCTCCTACCACCTCGTAAACTTCGACCCGCGGACCGGCCAACCACAAGCCAAGATGACGAATCAAGGCTGGAAAGACGATTCGACGTGGAGCCGAGGCCAGGCCTGGGCAATAATGGGGTTCGCGCAGACGTATTCGTGGACGAAAGATGTAAAATACCTGGCGACGGCGATCCAATGCGCAGAGTACTTCTTGCGACGGTTGAAAGAAGGAGAAGGGAAGTGGCATCTCCCCATGGTCCCGTGTTGGGATTTCGACGCGCCACAAGATAATCCCGAGGAACCGTTACGCGATGTTTCCGCAGGCGTGATAACAGCGAACGGTCTTCTTATCATCCACCAAGCACTCCAGTCCCTCTCTTCAGCCACGACATCGCAACTCCCCTCCAGTGGCGCCACCAATTTCCTCGATATCGCGCTGCAGATAGTATCGCAGACCCTGGATATGTCGTTCGACTCTGATCTAGCGTCTTTCGGAGCACCCACTAAGACTATGGTGAACGGAAACAGCGTTAACGGCGCAGCGGTAACATCGGAGATAAAGATCAACGAGACGGGCTTTGATTGTATACTCAGGAACAGTACGACGAATTGGAATGAGCATGCGCATATGAAGTATGCGGATCATGGGTTGGTGTACGCGGACTATTACTTGTTGGAGTTTGGCAATAAGTTATTAAGGTCCGGGCTGTTGTGACTGCTACATCCAGATATTAGGGATGTTGGAGATAAGAGCACGGAATTGTAACGACTTAATAGGCTTGCGGGGAATGCAAAGGCTATCTATATATCGCGAGACTCTTTGTTCTGCTGCAACCTCTTTCTTATCTCTTCCATATTTAATGGGCGGATTCAGTCATCGTGTATCTCGTGTGTGTTGCGGGAGTCGTGAGTGGCTCGTCGTTGATGGGTCATCTGTTCTGCTGCAAACTACCTAAGCATCATCTTAATATACCTTCGACTTGTCGACAGGAAGTCTGCGTTCTAGGTCAAGACCACGAGTGCTGAGTAGAGAGAGAAAAGCCCCCATGAGTGCACTCAGTAGTAGGTCGAGTCTTAGAGTCTTCGTGTCGACATCGGTCTTAGTAATCACGTACATTGTACCGAGCCTTTTGCTACGTTCCTGCGATATATCCCGGCATCGTAAGACTGTACCTAGTTTCAGCTTACTGCAATGCATGTATCGCGCGACGCAGGTTTATAGCTTACTAAGTCGTAGTCTACAGCTACGTAGTTGCTCTAGTTCGCTTTGCTTGAGTGAACTCCGCTAGCAAAGTAATCCTATGTATGTTATTTATCAGTAGAGATACTAGAGACCGCCGACTCTCGTGTATTTTATTCTGATTTTAAAAAAGGCAGATAGTCGGCTTGCATCGCAAGAGATGTCTTATCGTTTTGCGTTAGAAAGTAGTATAGGTAGCCTTTTTCTACAACTTATAACTCTTCTTCTGTGTCGGTTCTTCTACACATTCTTCTAATCAAAGAAGCACTTACTACATAGAACGCTAGAAGTATAGTAGAGTCTTGCACGAGAAGCGTCTGATTGTCTCGCCTGCAGATAGGTGCGCTTGCAACGTTTTAAGTAACGTTGCTAACAGCTCTAGAGTTGTTCTCGCATCCTACGCAACTGTAGTAGCAGCTTGCTTTAAACAGTATATTTGCCGCAGCAATTAGCTAGCTTCTTCCCGACTACCTTACTAAGGACATTTGTTTTCTATAGTTAGGGTTTGCATAGTTTGCAATAGAGACCTAGAGTTTTCGCGACGTTAGGCTACATAGCTAACATGCGTTGTTGATAACAAAGCCTACGTGAGTAAGTCTTTAGTCTGCCATAGAACCTTGGGAGTTCTAAGTTAAAGGACAGGAAGATACGTGTACTTTCCGTTATCGATGGCAGCGGATCTAGCGGATCTAGCAACTGTACCCCTGTATGTGTACGTACGAGAGTCTCGCGCTCTACCAGCATATTTTCCACACTACATGGCGGATTGGAACCTCGATTACACCTCTCCGTAGCGCGCAGGGGGGTTAATGGCATGCATTACAATTAGTATTCAGCTTAGCATGCTTTGGAATCCCTTCAAACGCGCCGAGGAAATGAATTAAGGATTGAAAGTCACTTCGTCATGGCTGATATCGTATACTTTGCACAACTTCAGACCCTCTCGCAGGCAAACCCTTGCCTGCGAGCACTCACTATGCAATTTAGGAATACTGCGGCAGGTGTAACGAGGCGGTTTGATGGAAACAGAGCATTAATTGTCGGACTGCATACCTCGAAAAAAATATATCTATCGAGTTGATGAACCCCGCACATCTCCGGAGGACGCTGACCGAGGTTGGAATCTCCCCAGGGCTGACAACTACCTTACATTCTAAGCTCGGCCAGGCCCCCTGACATCTCCCACTACTCACTAATACACTAGCACAACAGCCTTGGTGATAACAACGTCCTGATCCATGCTTGGGCTTACCTCCTCACTTGAAGGAAAGAATCTCTTCGCCTGTATCAGTGCCGCAGCAATTTCCGCATCTTCAGGTAGCTTCTCCGTTGGAGCCCGAACAAGTGCAGGAAACAGGCAAATTGAGACCTTCTTCTCGACACAGGAAAGCGAATCCAAACTATCACCCCCGTGGTCTTCTGCCTCCATCCAAAATGGATCAAAGCTGGTGTCGGGCCTGGCAAAGTAGACCCGGTGTTCGTGAAGGCTCAGCATGAGTGTCCGCTTGAGACGAAGAGCTTTTTGAACGATGCCTGTTGACATGATATTGGTGTGTTGAAGAGGCGGATTCGTATTCGTGGCGCCATTGATAGTTTTGGCGCAAGCCTCCAGGCATTCGCAAATTTCAGAAACACGATTCGGCAGAACCTTGTCCTGGAAGCAAGACTCTTGGAAGAATAGCTGGGCGGCCAGTCTATCGAGATGCCTGACCTCTTCTCTATCTTTTTCCCGAATACAGTCAGTCATTGATAACCAATCGATAGAGCTTGAAACATACCTGCCACAGTCTTGTAGATCTGCTCGGCCCAAGGCGTAACCTCACACATGGTTTCAGTTCCGCGGAACAACAATTGGCATAGTACAACTGCCAGAAGATGTTGGACAGCAAGCGGACTTCCCCAATGCTGCCGCCGCCTGTATATCCAATCATGCGGTTCGATTATACTGTTCAGATCCTCTTCGACAAGATGTTCAAGATGTGTTGTTGACAAAGTACCAGCCACAGCCAACTGAACCGGAGAAACAGCGAAGGAGTCTTCGGACATAGCATCTTTGAGTGGTACTCTGATGCTTCGCCAAAGCTTCGCAAGATCGCCTTTGCGAGGCTCAGCAGGGAACTCCGCCTTCTTCTCAAAGTCGCGCTGTCCTATCAGGGCTCTGACAAGGGTTTGATACTCGTGTCGAACGACGTTTGCTTGTTGTAGATCCTGCACAAGCCTGGCAAATGCGTCCCCTGGGGAGTCTCTGAATGACCTCTCGACTACCTGCATGGTCGTGAATATCTCGTCAGGCACTTGACTCTTAGGACCGGTTTGCTTTCGGAGAAGCCAAGCCAGACAGCCGACAGCCATATTCAAGGCTCGTTCGATCTCTTGCACGCTCCTAGCTCTAGTGTCTGCTATCTGACTCATCGAGCTTAACTTCCCTTCGAGAGCCGTAAGTCTTGCTTGCAGGTCCGATAGGTCGTTGATGGCCGCCCGATCCTTGAGAGGCACAGTCGGATTGGGTACCGTTGATGGTTCAGCCGGAGTTCTGGAAGTCCCGGAGAGGCTATCGGCAGAAGAGACGCTTATCCGACGTTTTCGTTTCCGTTTGTTCTGGCTACGACTCGGTATGCGTACCTGAGGGCTGATGGAGCGAGGAGGTCTCTGACGCCGTGTGAGGTCGATCGTAAGAGTTCGGCGATGCTCCTTCGGTAGCGAAGGGGGTTTCCCCTTGTATGTCGCCTTGAGCTCCGCGTAGATTGGCTGGTCAAAGTCATTAGATATGCGTAACAGCGGTTTTTCTGTTCTTACCTTTGACGACCCGGGAGGGGCGGGAGGAATCTCTTTCGCCCGTCCCTCGAAAGCGCCTAGACCAAGTTCCGGTCTCCTGCAGTCCATGATATCCGTGATAGACTTCCGAAGCGTGGAGTCATTGAGTAGGGGTGTGCCACGTTCGACCAAGTCGTTATACGTAATCCCTCCTCCTTGTTTGGTACAAAACCCAATCAGACGATCCTCGATCTGCTTTGGTGTAAGATGTTCTTCAGATACCGGTCTCAGTGTGTCTATGATTGTTGACCAGAAACTTTCCTCATTGGTTAGGCACCAATCCAAGTGGTTCAAGACAACAGCTAGCTCGTCGTTCGTCCATCGAGCCATTATGATGCGTGGTGCCGTGTCAGAAGCTTGTCAAGGGAGGCGGAATAATTGTAGCTCGTAAGAAGGAGGCCAAAAAAGAAATGATGGTGAGCGATGAGGGAAGTAAAAATAACAAGGATGGGTGGCCGATCGACGGCGTAGCCGGTGATGCGATACCTATGTAAGCAGGAACAGTCCAAGGTCTACGTATTGGTACGGGCGCAAGCACTTCTATTCCGCGTTTACCTAGGTTACCCCTGATAAGGACCAAGCTCAGTTAATGTGAGTGTTTTATTGGGGGTACCGATTGGGCAATTGGGGCGCTTGGTTCGGGTGGAGCTAATGACGGAAGAACGGCCCAGACAAACCTTTATGACACAGGACTGAGATGAAAACTCCGGAACAACTGTACGACGCGTAAGTCGAGGGAAAAGGAAAAGCCTGGAGGTGGAAAACCGACCTCTAGCAGTTTGCGTGTCCAAGGGTTTCGTTCACTGCGCAGTAACCGGCACGATTGCCTTTTCAACATACCAGTTCTCTCCGAAAAAAAGTCTTGAGAGAGAGATTAGTGCACAGGCCTATGTTTGGCCATCGGTCCGAGGTGGAGTTATCGATCGTCCTGGGATGTTGGCGTGCCTTCGTCCACCTGGGTAGCATCACGGGCGCCATTCCGCTACACGTACCGGGACCTCGTGCAACCTCTCTGGGCATCCACCCCCTCTGAGACTACCATCGGAACGAGACATTCATTGAGGATTTGTTGATGAAGCTGTGGAATCCGTCTACTGCCACCTCTTATCGCCCCCCAAATACGATGGGTCAAGATTCCGCCCATTCCGTCTCCTCTTTTGGAAGAGCCCTCAAACGACCGGCTTCCGTAAGCCTATACACTGCAATCGACACCAGACGACCGAAAGTGCGGCGTACATCCTTCTCAAGTCTTGCCCCGTCGACACCCAATCTGTCGGATCTCGACGACGAAAATGACGACGACGAAGATGGCGCGTACGAAACCAGTCTGCGACACTTTGCGCTGAGGGTAGAAGCTCTACAGGATTCCATCACTCTCCCCCCTTCCGGTATCGCACTCCCGGGTACGACCGCCCAACGAGTTACCGCGCCTGACTATCGTATCGCGCTCGACTTTGGCACCACGTATACGACCATAGCATTTGCCAAGAAAGGCGAGCCTCAAGCGTCAATCCATACCATCGATGGCTTCCTAGAAGACCGCTGCCTATCACTTAACGGCAGACAAGTACCGACCGAGAGCGTCTATATTCGGGTTCCGTCGAAAAGCGCCACATCGTTGACCAAACATCGCCGCAAGACCAGTCCGGTGCGATTTCGACGACTGCACGGTTGGGAGGCACAACGATGGCTAGAGACTCCGCAGCCAAACGAAGAGCTCATTGCGCACATACGAAGGATGAAACTCCTTCTCGACAACGGCACCTGGACCCAGGATGCGAAGAGCGACGCCCAAAAGCAAGTGGCGAGACTTAAGGCACATCGTTTGGTGCATTCGGAGCGAGACATCATACAACACATCTTGAAGTATTACCTTGAGCACATAAGGAAGACTTTAGCAAGAGACTATGGCTTCGACAATCGTAGTTCTGGTATGTGGCAAACCACTCTAACGCTCTCTTGCCAACCACTCACACAGTCATTACAGTGGAACTCACCTTCTGCGTACCAGTCTGCTGGACGTCTATGGCGAACGCTGTTATGAGCGACTGCATCGAGACAGCCATGCGAGATTCGGCCTTCGGACTGGACAGAGACGAGAGTGGAGACTACTCAGTCAACCTGTTCATGGTCAATGAAGCCGAGGCAGGCGCGTCGTACGCGCTTGCATCTAACGCAAGCCATGCCACTATCAAGGTATGTTTGTGTTGATTGTATCAAAGAGACCACACTGACTCTCGTAGCGCAAGCAGGTATTCCTCATCATCGATTGCGGCGGTGGTACAACTGATCTCGGCATATATCGAACAATGGAGCAGCACCCTTTACGTCTTGAGCGGGAAATAAACCCGCCTTCGGGTTCGTTGGCGCCATGGACTACGGAGCGCAATGGATGTTAACCTTTGACTAGGCGCTATGTGCGGGTCTAGTGATCTCAACGAGCGAATGCGAGCCCTTGCCTTGTCAGACCTTCACGACAAAGACTATCTTGCCACAGATTCCACCATCGAGACCATTGTCGAAGAGGATATCATACCGAAATTCGAGAACGAGTACAAGAGGATATTCAAGTATCGCGATACGACCCAGCGCTTCAGATTCCGACTCAGAGCTCTCCGCGCCTCCACAAACAACGGACGACTGCTGGATGGGCAATATGTGCTGGACTAGTAAGCCAATTCCTGCTTTACTTGAGATCTCCAGCTAAACAGCCAAGTGCCGACATGTGGAACATCTTCAAGCCTTCCCTGGAGACAGTCCGAAAGCTCATGAAGGGTCAAATCCGATCCGCGGTTGCGAAACGTATCGAGGTCGACTCAGTCGTTGTCATCGGAGGATTTGGAGATTCTCCGGCTCTCAGAGAGTATCTTCGGATATGTCTGAACGAGCTCAATCGGCAATATGGCCTTCAAATGGACATCAAGTTCACTCCGGCGTAAGATATGACACCGCCACATGCCCTTGGCATTCAAGAATATATCGCTAACGTATTGTCTCAGCAACACAGGGGCCGCTGGAATAGCCAAGGGGGCCATCATGCGAGCTCAAGACAAGCAACTCGGACCAGAGCGCATACCCACGCAAAGCATAGGAATCTATCGCCACATACATTGGGAGGACGGCTTGACCGCGCCATACATGAAACAAAGGGTGGAAAAGGACGGATCGGATTACTTGATCAAGAATACCATCCATTGGATTGTGAAGCGCGTACGTATCTTCCTCTGCGAGACCTAGCATCTGCATGCGCTTACCCACCGCTTCAGGGAAACGATCCTGTCCCCCGCGTACACCGAGTTCAATTCGAGTCCCAACATTCATTCTGGAAGCATACAAAGATCTGGAAAGGGGAAGAGATCCTCTTCATATCCGACACCTGTACGGAGGACTTTTGGAAGCGTGGACACAGATACAACAAAGGTCAGTGAGCCTGGACACTCTATCAGTGGTCTCCAACTGACAAGCTGCTTCTAGGGCAAACGAAGGAGCTGGGAAGAGTGATTTTCGATCTGACACATCTTAAGCAGCGGCATGTGAAGGAGCACGAAGACAAAGGCCTGTCTACGAGAACTTCCAAGATCAATATATCGGTTCTCATCGAGATGGTCATCATAGGTAGAGATCTGAGGTTCGATGTTCGATGGCCGGCGAAGAGCGATGGAGAGCTACTCGCTGCATCCCGAAGTTCGTTTTCGGTTGTGGCTGCATTCAAACCCGGCACTGAATAGATGTGCATGTTTTGGCCAAGCAACAAAGATCGATTGCATGCTTTGATCTATTGCTACTCTACCCCGCGCGCCATGTATACTGGCGTTCAGAGTGACGGCTCTATGTGTACTACTTGTAACCATTGTGTGTCCCAAAGTCGACGTTCAAAATGTCTAGTCGCTGCAATATAGCCATACCGCTTCAAAATTCCTCGGAACATCGCTCATCATCTCCGTAGAATTAACACGTGGGTAATTCTTTTGGTTGCCAGAGGCTACTTGAATATGCGGTCTCTGTGAAGATCCTCAAGTGGACCGCCACGATCGACATCCTGCTGAACATAGGTGGTCGACAAGATTGAGATGCGACAACACGACCCCGGGGGTGCTCGGTCAAGTGACGCTCCAGCTAGCCTACCAAAATCTGATTCACTACGTGTAACGGAGCGGCTAATCGCGGCTGTGATTGACGACCCAAATGTGAGTCAACAGCTAAAAGTTGTCCAATCAAGTTCTCGGGAGATGGGCGTCACCCGATATCTCCGAGGTGCAAGGCAAAATAGGTGGACACGCGCGGCCTGCATAACCAGGTAGTCCCGACGATGTGGAATCTCCAAGAAACAACGCACTCTTTGGCACAGACAGATTGGGTTGCTGAGTTGGCCCTGATGTTGATAGATCTCTGAACATTCTCCAGTATAGTGTGGACTTCAAGGGCTCACGCAAAGGAGGAGTCGCAGGTACTGTTCTGAAGTAGCCCACTTTCGTAGACAGGTTCCGGTAACAGAGGCCTGTCCATGTGCTGCGAAACGAAAAGATCAGCACCGCCAGACCTACTCTCACAAGTAGCATCGTAGATAACGCGAAATTAATACCCTGTTTTAGTGTTTCAAACCTTGCTGCCCGGCCGTGGGCTTGCCAGCTTAGTCAACGCGCTGTGAGCGATCCAGAAACGTGCATCGGTACAGGATTTGCAGGGAGACAGCTCCACATCTTAGCCCGAAGGCGCTTTGAGTCCAACTTAATCCAAATTATGCACGTACGGGCTAAGTTCTACGGTGATGTTTGCGGTAGCCCCTTACCTGGGTAGATTGTGCCCGAGGAAGTTTGCTCAAGCTTGCGAGAGTGATCCTGATGGAGCAAGATTCATGATCAAACTTCGCCAGACCTTGGAGGAATACAACGCTCGCCATCGATCGACCAATATTGGTGAGCATCAGGGAATGACGGAGGGTCTGCCTCGTCATATGTGATCTGTCTGCAGGGTGGCCACAGTCTCGAGAACGCACTAGTGAAAACGCCTCACGACCTTGGAGCTTCCAAGGTTTCCTGGCAAGCATGGCAGGAGCAGCGGGCCTTTTCCAACATTTTCTCTTGGGCCCAACATATATTGCAGCGGATTGAAGCCGAGAGGTGTTACTGTCGCCCCACGCACAATGGCAGCGAGGGACAGCGAGACTGTCAACATCATGCACGCGATCATAGACATTGCGGCTTACGCGGAGAAGGGCCACAGGAGCAATGAGCAGTAGCCCCAGACACTATCCACGAAAAAGACGATCTGATGCTGGCTTACCTATGCCGCATACTAAGACCGTTCTTGTCGTGCTTTCCATGCGCGCACAGAACCTATAGTAGGCGCGTGTGCGCAGATCGCTCAGTACCCCGATTCGTGGGAATCGGGACAGACCCACATTTTCGTGCAATGAGCGGCTTCGAGTCCGGAAGAGCGAGACGGTTTCGGAAATTCCCAAGATGCGTTGAGATGTCTTCACTATGGATCTCCAGCAATTGCTCTGTGTGCTTTAGTAATGTATAGCAATTGGAGAGTATTCTGTCTATGTATGCATCCGGTAATATCTACTGCACATGGCTACGACAAGTTCCTTCTTTCGTAGGTTGCAATGCGATCGATCGAGAACGACTCCGCGACGTTCAACGTGCGTTGAGCGAGATTCCACCAAGTACCATCAGGTGATCTCCACTCAGACGCGACAACAAGATCTGTACCCTGCATGTAGCAACGGACTTTGGTTTCTGCAATATACTGGGTGGTTACACCTGCCCTTCGGGTGCCAGAGATGCCGCGCCTTCTTTTCGTGGCAGGCCGGTGCCACGGTATTCCCCGAATATTCGCGTCCTTCATAATGCTTTTCACATCCACGTCTTCGCCATTGATGGCGTGTACAATACGGTGACCTTTCAGATGTCAGCAGATTTCTCGATGTACCCTGTGTAGGCATGGAACGAACCATTGTTCTTCTTGTCAGTGATCGGCAGGTGATCGGATGCAACTCCTACTAATGCCACAAAGGTCTCGTCTAGAGCCCACTTGGCTTCATCCTCATACCAGATGTGTATACTATCGATATCCGGGAATCTTTCTGTAGAGCTGTACTCTCGGTCCTGGTTCGTGGCTCAGAAAAATGCAGATGCCCAGCAGCAATGCGTCTTACCTGGCGAATGATCCACGTGGGAACGTTTCTGATCAGCTCTGTGCCGTCCTGGCTGTCAGGATCAAGCTCTCTAGGAATATCCTTGAGTGCGAGAGCGGTATCTCCGTCTAAATCCTGATAACAGATCTGTCGCAACATGCCAATATTGACGTGGGCTTTCCACCCAGTGATGGTTGCCGCACTTCCGGCCGCTAGGACAGCACCACGGGCAACAAAGGTCCCGCTCTGTCTTCTACCAATCATTTTAGCATCCGGCAAATTGCAATTGGTCTTCGAGCAAGCTTACCCGAAAGGTGACTCCGCGAACCTGACCTCAGCGCCACTACTGTTATGCAGAGGCCCGACAACATGTTTCTGTAGATATGGCCGCAACATGGGCTGATCGGCGCCTCCCCCAATAAGAAAGATGGCTACACCTCGAGGTTGCATACTGAGAATCGAGCGCAGTCCCGCACGTAGCAGTCGCGCGTTTCGCTTCAACCATGGTTGGAAAACATGTACGCTCAGCTCGTCCCTTCCATGCTCGTTAGTGATTGCAGTAGTACACAGGAGTGTAATTAGTGCATACCTCGAGATTATGACTTTGTTCCGTATGTCCAAGGTCCCTTGCACGCAGGAGGGAATGTATCCCAAGATAGTTATCTCGAGATGATCATGCACGCCGGGGGCCAACAGTTCCCGTGTGTTGAGAGTAGGCTTGCGATAGTTTTCGAAATCATCCATCGCCATACTGATTATGTCTTCCAATTTTTTAGCGTGCAACTTTTCCAGCATGTCTCGCTGGTCTTCAAGCCTTGACAACACACGCTTTTCGAGACGGTTGTTCAACATGTCAGACCCGCACTCGTCCCCTGCAGGATAGCTTAGTCAGTCTGAATACATATTGATGATTTGGCTGTCTTGTGGTGCGGAACTCACCCAAAGGTGCGGACACACGATGAAATTCGTTGCCGGTCTCAACGTAGTATGGTACCAGGTCAGCAGTACCTCCGCCGATATCATAAACAAGGACCACGGTGCGACACTATTAGCCAATTAGCGTTATACACGAATACGCCGAACACCAGCTAGTAAGTATGCTTACCAACTGTGCGAGATCATCTTGTGGCATCCGTGCCAGCATCCAACGTGCAGCAGCTTCTGGCTCAGTGTAGAGATGAACGTGAAGCAAATGTTGGTACGCTACCATCTCGTCATCTGGCAAGCAATGAAACCAGCCCCTATGAGCCGTTTCATGTCTACCAAGACGAGCGTTTGCTGCAGCAACTTCAACTAGGCGCTTGTACTGCGCGCGGGTGGGGCGATTCCAAGCCACTGGGCACGTGACAGCAAAGACGATCTGCGTGGTTTCATCAACGAAACCCTGCCTCCACGGTCCATATGTGCATGCTTCAATCTCGTTAAAAGTCCAAGTGAGATATTGGATGATAACATCTTCTTCGTGCGTGATATGGCATTCGTCCTTAAGCCTCCTCAACAGAGTCGCCTGCTCTCCTGTCCAAGTGGTTGGGCTTTGCTGCTCTGGAGCTGGGATCGATGTTGTCCTCGATGTAGGAGCTGGGTCGGGAAGATCGTCCTTTGACCAGGCAGACTCTGGAAACGATGTCTTTGGCTTTACGCCTGCCACGTAATACGTTCTGGAGTTGTAATAGCTCTGCTGGGTGTTGTTGCGAATATCACTGAGTGCTTGCCAACCAAATCTGGGAGCCTGGTTGGGCCGATAGAAGGACGCTGAGGGCACATGACCGATGTTCATGGGAGTTTGAAACGTCGAGTAAGGTGATACTCCAGGTACGACGTCTTCAACGTCTTCCCATTCGATTGAAGAGTCCGGCTGTCCACGATAGACCACCGCAAAGGCCCTCTTGGTTCGTGTGAAACCATAGTCAACAGAAACAATCACCTTGGCCGCCCTCTGAAACGGGGACATCGAAGCAGTCTGTCTTTGACGACCGCGCGGGCGCGAGGAAGTCAGATCTGTTCTATGGTACATCATCTGATACCAGTCACCAAACACTCATTAAGTACTGATGATGGAACACTAACCTTTGGGAGAAGCGCAGTAGTATTACGGCTGAGAGAGAACTACGTCCCTTCTGACCGGAATTGACAGGTACCGAGACAATACGGCTCTTTGTGGCAAGGTAGTTCGAGGAAGTTGACGCAGAATGTAAGAGGGTCGACGCAGATTTGCTAACTCCTTCCCCGCGCCACACAAAGACTAGCGAAGCAATAAGCATCGCCCATGTACAGCTACACCGACTTAATGACCGCTAAACCAAGAGCAACAAGTCGTATCACAAGAGAGGTAAGACGAGGGCCCCTTGTGATGGCATGGCCCTGCCATGCTTAGGCACACCCGGTTCTCAGGCCCGTCCACGGGAAAACCACGCTAATTTCTTGAATTTATGCAAAATTGTGCATCTGTTGCGAGCGTCGACCAAAACGAGGTAATGGCCATCGCGCAATCTGTTGATAGCGCCGCACTGTCACTGACAAGTGCACCAAGCCAAAGTGGGTATGGCAGGGGAGGCTAACTCCCGAGGTCACGTCGACTTTGGCACCTAAGCCAAAGCTACACAGTTTCCTGCCACCGTGGGGAACATCTACGCAACAACATACAACCTGCGTCCTTTGGAGTTCTCTCAACGGACCCCATTTCTGACTATTGTTCTCGGACGATGGCTCCCAGTGTATGGACTCCAGCCGCTAGCATGAGCTTGTTAGCTTTTGCAGTAAGCAAGGGGCAAGACGATGACTTTACACAACGAGTATCGGAATATCTCGAACCTCTGATAAAGAAGAGAGTCACCCACAGTTCGGTCAACTCACAACTCGCCCGACTAGCTGACAGACTCGAGACCTCGCCGGATCGGTTAAGGCGAGGCGAGATCAACAACACTAACGTGCTTAACTTGAAGAGCGAAGAGCAGAGGCTTCTTGCAGACGAGCTCGAGAAGCTCCTCCACCCACAGATACCCGCTCTAGTCCCCCAGATACCTATGGAGCAGCTGGAGGGTCCTCAGAACGCTGGATCTGATGAGATCATGGCTGACAGTCCGGACGTAAGCTAAGGCCTGTAATATGCGCATGAGCATGGAAATCAGCTAACATCTCAAGTAAAGCCAGCGACATGCAATGCGATCGCTTTATTAGACAACGAAGCAACATCCCAATTACCTGCAAAACGCGCTCGAACGTCGCTTTCCTCCCCTCGTGTGTTACCATATCGACGACATACAGCACAAGCGGTCAGCCCTCAAGCACAGGCCATCGTATTACGAGATGCGGAGAAAGTCGCCCTTCAGTGTGAGATCGAGAGGCTTCGAGAAGAGAAGCACATCCTCGAGCTGAATTCTACACGGGAACGGAAGCGAAACGAGGAACTCCGAGAGCGACTGTCCGGGCTGAGCAACTATATTGAGAGGCTCGAACTAGAATCTGTGGCCGCAAAAAGGGATATGAAAAACATGGAGCGGTTATACGAGCTTAAGCACCGACGTTCCAGCATCGCCTGCGGACAAGGCCCGGAGGACCGAGTCGTAGAGGGCATCCAAACGGAACCGTGCACTCGGGACGCTCGTCGTGTCAGGACACTATACGATAACCTTCTCTCTTATATGTATCTCTCGAGAGACGGAACTGATATTCTCGCGACCATCAGTCCGCATCAGGTGAACACAGAATGGAGTTTGTGTCAAGCCAGACTGAGATCACTTTCTTCCGGAGATCTCTGGGGCCGCGGCTACGGTCTCGACTTGGACAAGATCCCGTCGGGGTTCTTCTCGTTCTTGGGGAAGTTATACGGAAGGACGGAGAAGGTCTCGATACACGAACCCGCATTGTGTCTTGGCCTTATCGAGAACCCGAACAAACGAAACGTCCTCAAAGCATATGCCATGGACAATCTTTGCGAACGGGTCTTCCAACGGACCGACTTCCACGACTTTGACAAGACGAAGTGTCGTATGCTCGAGAGTTATCGCCATCTTATAGCGGCGGCCACGGGTATGTTCACCTTTGATACGCCCAATCTGTAGCTTACTAACAGCTTTAGGCGGATTCGAGGCCCTACAAGTGTTGGATGCCGGAGCAACGAAAGCCCTTCTCTCGGAAAAAGGCGGTTATCTACACGGCAAGATTGTCGAAGAGGAGGCGAACAAGATAGCGGAGAAGGTCAATACAGACCTGGCACCTTTCTTCGTAGACGGGCTGTCCACCGGGATAGTTTCGGCAAGACAGGCCACGCTTCGCGAGTGCGCGAGCATTCTTCTGAGGCTCAAGTTCGAGCTCCTCATGGCCAACAAGGGTTACGAGATCCACTTCGTCGAGGCAGGTGTGCAGTTCGATCCAGGAACAATGGTCGCGATTGAGTATGACGGAGCCGCCGTAGAGGGGCGCCTAGAGGGCAAAGTAAAGTTCTGTATCTATCCAGCATTGGTACAGTACGACTCGAGCGCTGCCGCGACCGCGACATTGGAAGACTTCTCCGCTGTATTGCTTTGCCAAAAGTCGTTCTATCCCAGCAATGCGATGCGGCAAAACAGGGAGGTTATAGCTAGAGCCATAGTCTTGCTGGAGTAGTTAGTTGGTGTATCTACCTAGGTACCTGGCATAAATCCGAAGATTGCGTATGGTCGAGAACGAGCCCCGCCTCCCCTTATACTCTGGACACGCGTTCCCTGATCTTTTTCGCGATCCATAGGAGCTAAAAAAAAGTATAGCATGCTTGTGTCGGGGTGCCAGGGTGTCGTCGCGTTTGCCCACCTGGGTAGGTGGTGATGGGGGGGATCACGTGACTCTTATCTCTTACTGCTCCGCATTTCCAAAAAGTCACCCATCAGTCCCAACAAAGCAGTGCGCATTGCGACAGCGATACCCACGCGAGGAGTAAAGAAGTTCCAATGCAGATATCTTTCTATCGAACCCGATTACCAACTAGCTAGCTGTGTGCATCGATCGAATCCGCCGCGTAGTTGCCTTTCTGGCTTGACGACCTTGCCTTGCAATACAGTGTATCTGATGATATTCTCGCAGTCCTCGGGTTTCACTCGCGCGAGCCATATGCATTGCGCTGCCTCGCCCTTGCCCTCTGCTTCTTGCTCCTTGTTGGCGTCCAAGAGGACTTCTTGGCCGTTGTCGTCTTCGAGTTTCAGCTCCGCGAGCCGCTTCTCGGCGCCATTGGTATGCCCATTGGCAGTGCCATCCGTCCCATCGGGTCGAGTGACGACTGAAGAGTGTCGGTAGACCATGACGTTCGCCGAGAATTTATGTCCTCCCACATGGCTTATAAAGTATATCCCTACACCTCCCGGTCGCTCGTCGTGTAAATCGCGGTATAATCCCAGTGGTCGTAGCAGTCGCTCGAACTCTTTACGTAGAAGAGGAGCAGACTGACCACAACGTGCGTCCCGTGTCTTTTGACTGCACATCAAGATCAAGTATTTGTGTGGACATGGTCGGGCTTTGAGTTGGGGTGCGGGTATCGACGGGGGTATGGAGGAGAGCGCGTCGGCGTCGGCGGAAGAAGTCTCTTCCGGCTTTTCTGAAGGTGGTAGCGCGGCAGTTTTCCGTGAGCGCAGTGGGGTATTATTCGTAGGACCGGGGTTGATGTAGTCGGTGATAAGTTCGGGAATGTTCGCAGGTGTGACATTGTCTATGAACTGCCATGATGGTAGCAGTAGCACCATGGAACTGTGATCCGAGTGGTCTGGGACGGGCATATTAGAGGCAGATAACATGAGTTTCTATACCCAATTAGCTCGCACTCGATACAACCTAACGGTAGCATATCTCCAAACTCACCCCATTGCTAGGCTTTGCATCGCCCCTGTCAACCGCCTCCATGATGCTGCCCTTCTCGTCTGCAACATCGCGCACCCAATCCGTCTTGCCCGTCGCGACAATCAAATGCGTACTCCATCCCTTCACGTGTCCATACAGCTCTTCCGTCTCATCAATCTCAAACTTGCGCGGGTACTTGACACTGCAACTAGCACAGTCGTGCAGGCAATCGTCGCCATCTACCGCGGGGTCGGTGGTCGGGAACAACTCCTCCGTCTTCTTCGCTTTGGTGAATTCGTCGCTGTCTTTGGCCAACGTAGGGACTTCTGACGACGAAAGTGCCGAGGTCAGCTTGTAGGACAGGTTGCGCAACATGGCAGGGACTCGGTAGGCGTTTATCGGCCGGTGGGGCGTCTTGGAAGGTGCCATTGCGTATCTTTATATCAGATGCGGCGATTAGATCGCCAAGACGCGGAATGTGGGCGCGCGATGACGCCGACGCTTACGGAGTGGTTGGTACCTGGATGATGTCTTTCACGCCCGTTCACGGCCGTTGCTGCCTGGGAAATACGAAGACAATCGAGTAACACCGAATACACGTCCTTACGGCTATTTCTCACGGAAGCTGACCGCCTCTTATATTGCTTTTCATGTTTCGGTGAATTGCTTCGGCTTTCGGACCTCGCGACATCAGATTACGCGACAGTCTGCAGTCATGCTTCGGATTTGCTGTGCAAGGCCCGGACATCCTCACGTTCTCCGACTCCTCTCTACTCGGCTCCACATAACCCTCGCGTTTCTCCTACGCTAATCTGTTTCGAAGAACGACGCTGTCGCCGTGACTTCTATCGCGTACGCGTCGGTCAACACGTACTCATAGACGCGTCTGTCGCGTAAGATGCGGCTCAAGATGCTCAACGGGGCGCCGTTGCGCGACCATCTAGAATTCAATGACGACACACTTTTAGCAGTCGAAGATTGCCATCCTTTTGATGCAGCAACAGGTAAATCTACACCTGCGAATGGATCTACACCATGTTTGAGGTGGCGTGGATTGACAACCAAGAACACCCGGCTTAAAACTGGATGGTCACAGCCTTTTCTTCCAGGAAGCATTCAGGGTCGGGACGTGTCAGATGTTTCGCTTCCCAATGTAGGTCGATATACGTCGTTTCTTCAGGAAGATACAACCCACCTGGATACATCTATCGCCTTTGAGGATACACCAATTGCCACACCTGGCTATCTTGAGCATTCGCTCATATTCCACGACACGCTACTGTCGTCTCAGGTCCTGCCAGACGGTATGACGGATAAGAGCGTCAGCTCCTCATCTTTCTTGACTACTTCTTTCGGAACTACTCTATCGGACTTTGACAGCCCAAGCAAAGTCGATGAGCATACACTACTCGTCAAAGTCGCGCCCAAGATGAGTATCACGCCTATTGGATTGTTACCTAGCGCACAACGTCTACGAGCGATCTACCCGCAAACCCCAACACCAAACTTCTTATGCGTTGTGACAGCGACTCCGGAGCAAAAAGAAGTATTCGTTCGGAAGGGCGGATACAAGATGAATCTATGGGAGATCATCGTTGCGGATGATACACGCTCAGACTTCAAGGTCACGTTCTGGCTGCGCCCACCCCGAGAGTCCAATAACGAACAGAACCACGTTCAAAATCAACTACTGCAGACACTAGAGAGCATCAAAGTTGGCGACATTCTGCTCCTGAGGAACATTGCGTTAACATCGTTCGGTGACACCGTCTTTGGCCAATCTCTGAACCCGGCCATTACACGGGCTCGAACGACTATTGATGTCTTGACGAGAAGCAATGGTATATCAGCTGCCCAGCTGGGTGGACTGCCGGTGCCAGTAATCGAAGTCTTCAAGAGAGTCAAAAAGTGGGCAAGATTGCACATCGCATCTGATAGTGCAGGTTCGAGAAAGAGAAAGGGAAGCCAGGCGAAACAAGTCAATGACACGAAACGCACTTTGAAAGCGCGTGATGTCGATAATTCCATGCCTCCCGACACTATGGAAAGTGTATGAAGCACATCCCCCGCAAAATCGCGATAACACCAATTTTGCCGGTTAGCAATCGCTACGTGCCGACATTGTTTCATCGCATCGACCATTCCAGGCCGTCACATCCGAGTTGATAGGTGCCTGAATTTCGGTTGCTCGTCAATTTGCTCTCTGTGAGCGTCGCACCATGCCATGGTGGTCTGTGCCGCAGCCCTGCCATCTCACACAATCAACATCACACAGCTCCCCCACGTCACAGCCACAATCAGTATACTGCACCGATCGAGGATGGCCCGCTCGTGCCCATGTTTGATTCTCGACTAGCCGGTGGGGCTAAGACATCCCCAAGATGCTCAACTGTCTATGCTGCGCCTTGGCTAGGACGACTAAGTCAACGATTAAGCGCGGCTGTACTGAGATCATGAACACCGGTACTAGACCCTCAATGAATCTCGACAATACGCTACAGAACTCTGATTGTCTGTATTCCTCGTCGACACCTCGTGCTCCTCCGTCCTTGGCACGTTCATGCGAAGAAACCAAACATGTTTCGAACATCATCCTACATGCAAGGATGCGCCGAGCAACAACAGCGTACACGCTGCTGCACCTGCCTTTTGACAGCTGGTGTGTGTTTTACGCATGAAGTGCCGGTACTACAACGCGGTACGTCACTTACAGGTAGCGGGGCAGTGGGTTGTGGCATCAGCCGTTCATTTTACGGACATCTTATATACAGCATCATGTCCATCCAGAATCCCATCACAGCATCGCTTGCCCAGTCTCTCTTTCAGTCCTAGTGACATTCATTCTTTTCGTTCGCAACTTGTTGCAGCTTCCATTCGTTCAGATCTTGACGATCACTTTCATTCGCTACCGGCTGGCCATCATGAAATCACTCTTTTCTTTCACTGGTCTGGCTACCACACTCTCGTTACTGGCAAGCGTGCAAGCTGTTGCCAACTCTACGAATGGCCCTTCATGTGGAGTTGCAAAGGCAGACGAAAGCTACTTCAGCGTTGTCGGAGTCCAAGGAACTGGAGTACACCCCCGAAAGGAACTCCGTGAATTGCAGAAAGACACAGAGTTGTGGAACATCTTTATCCAAGCGTTTGCTCGCTTCCAGGCTATGGACCAGGATCAGAAGATCTCTTACTTCCAGGTCGCAGGTATGGAATTAATGTTCTTATCAGAGGCTTGACTAACATCTCTAGGGATACACGGAGTGCCATTCCAGAAGTGGGACAATGTGAATGGGACAGCTGGCCATGAGATGATGGGTTACTGTCCTCATGGGTCCAGCATGTTTGGCCCGTGGCACCGGCCTTATCTCGCGCTGTTCGAGCAGGTTCTCCATGATCGCGCGGTCGAGGTTGCCAATGAGTATCCCATCGGTGAAGCCCGTAACAAGGCCTTGGACATCGCAAACCGAGTTCGTCTTCCGTACTGGGACTGGGCGATGGATCCGCCAAACAGTGAAGAGGGTGTTATCCCTGAGAACGTGCGTTGCCTCACGGCTACCGTCACGTTTCCCAATGGGACCACAGGGTATATTCCCAACCCTCTGTACAAATACGACTTCCATCCTCTGAAGTATGACGACTTCGCTCCTCTGGTACGTCTCAATTGTATACATCTACGCTCCGCGAAGGAGATATCATCCTGAAGAAGTTGGCTGCTGACACACAAGTAGAGCGAGTTTGAGTTCAAGTACTGGAACCATACTATTCGGTACCCAGCTGATCCGCACGCTGCCAATGCCACCAGC